AAGTGTCCATCCTGTCCTCTTTTTATTTGGCGGCCGATCGGCCCTTTACCCACATCTGCACAACTCAGCAATACCAACCAGGGGCCGATATCATCCTCCTTCTCGCCACCTTTTTACTACTGAAAGGGCTTCGTTTTCTTCTCTCCATCTAAAGAAAAAAACATTGAACCTTCTTTTTCGCTTTTCTTCACAAATTCTGAGCACACCATGCTACGGTTAAGTGCATTGCAACAAATTGGACTGGTGCAAGTAAGTTGTCATTATTATTATTATTATTATTATTATTATTATTATTATTATTATTATTATTATTAAAAATTAGCAAATTCATCAAGAAAATTTATTTACATTATTGACTATTAGTCTGGTTCAAACTCCCATCATCATCATCATCATCATCATCATCATCATCATCATCATCAATAATAGTATATATTTATTTTACAAGATTTGTGATGGCTAAATTGTGAAAAATCTCCTTAGGGACCTACTTGTAGTGTTGTTGTTACAGTACACACACACACACATACGCACACACACACATGTACACACATACACACACACACATACGCATACATACACAAACACATACATATTCAAAAATTAGTGCAACTATTTTCTTTTACTCCATTGTTAAATTTCACGTAAAAGATGATTAATGTGAGCAAATTAGGGAACTTATTTCACAAGATAAACCATGCCACATGTTAAACTGATTTTAGCTTACTGATATTTCAGATGTTTAGCCCGTAAACAATGTTTAAAGTATTAAAATATACATTCAAATATGTAACCTTTGCTTTGTTCGATTTTTTTATCGAACCTGCAACGAGTATCGCCGGCCGCAACGAATATCGCCGGTCTGGCATTTGGGAAAATACCAGGTTTCATTATCACACTGTATAAAGTTCACCCACTCGCGTTTGCCATCGCTAGCGAAAGAAGCCAAACCAAAACAAAAACATTGAAATAAGAAGAAACAAAACATGTAGTGTCATATGTGCATGAAAATGCCATTTTCAGAAGGATAACAATTATTGCAATTCTAATGATTAAAAATTACAGTTGTATTGCATGTAGAAATATTCCGAAAAAGTTAATAATATTTAGGAAAAACAACAAAAACGCACAAATAAGTTAGACTATGAAACAGGAAGCACAAAACTATTCATAGATTTATACACCCGTCGAATTTAAACTGAAGCGTTTAAAAATAGAGTCATCTACATAGACAATTGCTCTTATAATTAACGGAAAGGCAAAAGAAGCTGAAAACGAAAGCATTTACCTACATTTTGTCCCGTTTCAGTATTTTTCTATCTCACACAAACACACACACAAACGCACACGCAAGCACGCGCATACATATACGCTATTCGTTCGTCCTCCTTCATCTCTCTCACCCTCTCTCTCTCTCTCTCTCTCTTGTGCCATGTCTCTTCAGTACGCAGACGATCATGGTTCTCCACAGCTTCCATTCTCTCAGCTGAACGTAATCACATAACGTAATCGCATAACATAACGTGGGTTATACGAGGGCACTTCGACTTGGTGCAGTGGTTAGCAAGCTTGTCTCTCAAATCAATTACGACTGAGTACAGAATTCGATCCTCACTGGGTACTCCATACTTGCGGCCTCGTGCCACATGCGAAATGTTACCTAAAATTTCAGAGAATTTGACCATGAGTAAAAAAAAGTATTTCTCTAATACCTAGTTTTCACCATCTCTTTCGAAGTTGTCCTATATCTATAACTTTTGCACAAAGAGTACTGCTCACAAAGGGTAGTGGCAAAATTCTGTACTATATTGGCTTTGAACGATCTTCAGATTGCTGGATCTTCTGTCTCTTTGAAACTTTTTCTTTTGTTGTCCTCTCTCTCCCCTCAATAACGTTTTCTCGATTTCTTTTATTCTCAGTAACCATTTTATCTTAGTGGCTTTATCACCTTGCTTAGTGTGAAATTACTATAAAAAAAATAAATAAATAAACATTTGGGTACTAATCCGTATATCCACATTACATAAATTTATTTATTCAAAAGTGAAATAAATATGGATATAAGAAAGTTATTCGGTGCAACTTGTAAATACTCCTAAGATATTTGATAAAGAGAATATTATCCTTTCATTTTGTAGACATTGTCTTGTTTTGAAGGAATGCACTTTTCTAATTTCTCCTAGATGTCAACTTTATATTTGTAAATACGTTAAAAAGAAAGGAGCCCGCGCTCACGCAGGCAAACACACACACAAACACACACACACACACACACATATATATATATATATATATATATATATATATATATATATATATATATACGTATATATATATATATAAATAATTAGTAATAATAAATAAAATTAAACGATCACTTATCAAATATGACGAAATCATATTTATGAAAAACATTGACTTGTATTAAAAATGTAATTTTACAATCAAGTCCGCTTAAAACTCCGCGAAACTGAGTTCAGATAAGATAAGTGAACATTTTATTTATTTATTTATTACTATTAATTCTCTATCTATAGATATCGAGACTACCTTTTTTTTGTAACGCAATTTTTCTTACATATATATATATATATATATATATATTACTAATGTTCACACTATGCAAGCCCCAAGAGCCACTCGAGGTAGAACGTTACTGAAGTATTTTTGTGAGTGTGTAAGAGTAAGTGGTAAGAAGCTGAAGTTTTTAAGGATATGTGGGAATGACAACGGTTAACCATAGATTAAACAGGTTAAGATTGTAGTGGTCGGAGAAGCACCATCTTGGGAGTCGATTCCCCAAAGCAGCGGTGTATGGGAAAAAGATATTCGAGTGGAACTTACATCTTACTGATGAAATACGAATGGAATGAGGGTAATTCACTACAATGCGTGTGGCATGGCGGGTCTTAGCTGTGAAGGCTGAAACTGGTGGAACTAAGAAATGTTGCTCGTCAGAACATTTTACATGGAAATAGCGATAGAGTAGCAAGAAGTTTGCAAAGTTTTCTCTCTGGGAAATAGGTTGTTGGGTGGAAAATAATTCATCATTCCCCCCCCCCCGAAAAAAAGACCGTGTAAATGCTTTTGGACTCTATCGAGACTGAAAAGTAAAGATTGAGCAGCTCCAGCCCAGATATGGCAGCAGTATTCGACTTGATCTTGCTCTTGTAAAGGTAGAAGACAACAGGAGTCAGGGAGCAATACAGTGAAGCAACCATTTTTCCAGTTTCATTAATGATGGATCGTATATACGGATTCCATCTAAAGACTGGAGGTATTTTAAATCATAATAGGCGTTTATGGCAAGGTGACTTCTTGAGAGATCACATGTTCATTGCGATAGGTGGACATTCAGGGTCCCTTTGTGTTCATGGAACGTTACTAGTTTGTTTTTTGAAGCATTGAATATGGCCAGCCAGTTCCCCCCCCCCCATAAAGTTGTTATTCTCGACTGAATGAGGCGCTTATTGTTGCTCGGAGCACCGTTTTTTTTGTTTTTTGGGTTTTTTTTTGTTTTTTGTTTTTTTTTTGTTTTTTGTTAAATAACGTCTTTTCAATATAATTTACTCTCAAAAATTTACTTATTTGATAAGTAGTCGTTACGGTGATTTAAAACATTCACTTGCTTGTTATATTCACTATAAATACAATTAAAATAGAATCTTCTCGAAATTGGCCCTTAAAGTTTTTGAATCTTTCTGTTAAGAATAAGCAAGCACAAGCAGAACGATAGCCTTCGTGTGACTCGTTAGTGGATGTCATAAAAAATCATAGCATAGAAACAAAAACATTATTCAAGTTTCGAAAAGCAAGGCATTTATGAATACAAATGAAGTAAATTAGGAAAATGAATCAGGGGAGAAAGAAAGAAAGAAAGAAAGGAAGAAAGAAAGAAAGAAAGAAAAAAGAAAGAAAGAAAGAAAATAAAGTGAGACAAGGATGGATTCGAGAAAGAATAAAGAATTAAAAAATATCGAGAGAAAATTAAAAAAATAAAAGTCAAAAAGATGGGGAAAAAGTGTCTTTGAGGAAGACAAAGAAAATTATAATTTATATAAATAAATAAATAAGGAAGGAGAGGAAAAATGAACTCTAAAATGTTATCGTAAAATCTAAAAAGAAAAATAGACAAACGAAAAGAAAACTTTGATGTCTACTGTCTGTGCCTGTTTCTTTAACAGCTGAAAAAAATGATGTAAAATAAAAAGAAAAACCGTTAGTGTCTCCCGCATATCTACCAAAAATTATGCCATCCAAACAAAAATAATAAAAAGTGTATTTGTTGATATATATATATATATATATATATATATATATATATATATATATATATATATTCACACACAAACATACACACTCAGAGAAGTTGTATTAAATTCAACCTAAAATAATGACCGGGAGTGTCGAAAGTCAGTCAGTTATGTGCCATGCGTGATATACGCTTAGGTGATCATGTGTCTTTCGATACATGACAGACGAGTCAGATTTTTTCCCGCAGTAGGTTGCCATTTCTTTCTGCGGTAAAGCAGTTGCTATCCAAGGCCTATAGAACCCGGTCTGTCTTGCTATTTACCCATAGCTCAGAAGAAGAGGATTCATACCTTTCCCAAGGGTATTAGCACGTAAGTGAATGTAATGGAATCGACTGGAATTCGAACTCGGCTCTACGATTCCTCAATTCATTACTCCACCGTGCCCCCCCCCGTGTCGAAGGTACTCGAACAAAACAAAGGGCAAAAACATTAAATTTGGACACTTTATTTATAATTTTGATCCGCATATGCAACAACTTATTCAAAAACTGGAAAAATTAAATAGCAAAATTAAGCAGACAGACCTTAACCCACTTCTTAATATCATACATTTTCCCAATATTGTTCTTGATATATAAAAATGTATATCGTTATCTCTGAAATTGTCTGTGTAAAATCTATGAAGAATATATAAGCACCATGTTAAACATTGATCCCACCGCACTTTGGAAAGTATCTGCAAGCCATACAACGAGTTAAATCATGTCTGAACCCATGAGTGAACCGTTCGTAATCTGTTAGAAGTCGTCAATGGTTGTGCTAGCTCGAAGTCACAAGTCATCGTGACCGAAGGTTTGGGCTTGCTGGCCTTGTTAAAAAAAATGATCACACCAGATTATGCATTTTATCCCAGAAACTGTAACTAAGCCATCAAGTAGCTAGCCATCATGACTAAATTATTTAACCGAACTTGTTTGAATAAAAATATGCTAC